ACATCAGGAACTATTACAGATGCTTGACTGAAATAATGAGAAAACAGTTTGCACACTAACTGAATACTTCAGTTGCCTATCGAAAGGTAACTCTCGTTGCGTCGTCTTGACGACCTATGGGGAAAACTCCTGTTTTACTCTGATACTGAAGCCTGATTTGTTCACTTTTGTGTAGGTGCACAAACCAATGGCGCTCTAGCCTTCCAGAATGGGCGGGGTCGCCTGGCTATATAAGCCGGCTCAGAGCACCATCTCATCAGAATCTTCTCCTTCAGCGACGAGACCATCACTTCGCTGACTCTGCGACGAAGCCGAAGAAAGAAGCGCAGCCTGCTCGACGCTGGAGGAACTCGACCTCGAGTGGTTGGCCCCGGAAGAGCCTGTCCCCGGCCTCCTCGACGAGTGGTTCTTAAAGGGACATTGTCAACCATCCTCCCGACAGCAGCCAGCTCCGTTTATGCCTGCGGTCCACTACGAGCTCACTAAAACATGGCGGGCTCCGTACTCAGAGCGTGTGAACCCCTCTACTGCAGCTGCTCTCACCACTGTTGACGGCGCTGAAGAGAAAGGGTATAGCAAGCTTCCCCTCTTGAAGAGGCAGTAGCTGCTCACCTGTGTCCACTGTCGACCCGCGGGCTTAAGACTGCAGCGCACCCATCCAAGCCCTGCAGAATGACGTCAGCCCTGGCCAACAGGGCTTATGCAGTGGCTGGACAGGCCGGCTCAGCCCTGCATACTATGTCTGTGCTATCTGGCCCTGCTCACTACAAAAGCTACTGCTCAGGCAGTAGGCAAGGCCATGGCCAATTTGGTGCTGTTGGAGCGCCACCTATGGCTAAATCTGACGGAGATCAGGGACGCCAAGAAAATGGCATTACTTGACTCCCCGGTCTTGCAAACGGTCCCCTTAACGAACAGCGAGTCAGGTTTTTACAGCCGATACTTCCTCGTTCCCAAGAAAGATGGCGGACTCAGACCAATTCTCGATCTTAGACATCTGAATCACGCCCTCATGCGACGGCCATTCAGAAAGTTAACTTTGAAACAGATCCTCGTGCAAATATGCCTCGGGTACTGGTTTCTGTCTGTGGATCTGATAGACGCATACTTTCATATTCATATAGCTCCCCGTCACAGACCGTTCTTGAGATTCGCATTCGAGGGAGAGGCCTATCAGTACACGGTCCTTCCATTCGGACTGTCCCTGGCCCCCCGCACTTTTACGAAGTGCATCCCCTCTGAGACAGATGGGAATCCGCATTCTGAACTACCTCGACGACTGCCTAGTGCTAGCCGAATCAGAACGGGAACTTATCGCTCACAGGTCGTTGTTGCTCAACCATCTGGAGCGTCTTGGTTTGAAAATCAATTCAGCCAAGAGTTTTCTGACTCCCAGACAGCGAGTGACCTTTCTGGGAACAGTTATAAATTTAGTGCAAATGCGGACTTGGATTACGCCGGAACGCTCCCTGAACATCCAGCGAGTGGCGGCGTCATTCAAGTTGGGGACTGCACGTCCCCTCAGGGTATTTCAGAAGATGCTCAGCCTCATGGCGACCGCCTCCTCAGTTTCCTCGGGGTATTTCAGAGGATGCTCAGCCTCATGGCGGCCGCCTCCTCAGTTATTCCCCTAGGCCTGCTACACATGCGGCCTCTCCAGTATTGGCTACAAATCTGTGTCCCGTCCCACGCCTGGCGCCTGGGCCGCTATTATGTCAGGGTAACCAATCGCTGCGTCAAAGCTGTGGCCCCTTGGACAACTCCTCGCCTGTTTCTATCAGGCGTACAGTTGGGAACGACCCCCAGGAGGAAGGTAGTCACGACAGACCCCTCCAGCTCGGGCTGGGGTGCTCTGTACGAGGGCAATCCGACGTTCGGCTCCTGGTTGATCCACGAGCAATGCCTACACATCAACTGCCTCGAAATGATGGTTGTTTGTCTGGCCCTCAAAACCTTCTTGCCAGCCTTAAAGGGGCACCACGTCTTGGTCCGGTCAGACAACACGACTGTGGTAGCCTATATCAATTGCCAAAGCAGCCTCAGGTCACGTTCCCTTTACAGGATGACGCGGCTTCTCCTGCTTTGGGCACGGAGCAAACTCCTGTCACTACGACCGGTTCATGTGCCGGACAAACTGAACTAGGGAGCGGATATGTTGTCCAGAGACAATGTGGCTCCGGGGGAATGGAGACTACATCCCCAGTCGGTTCAGATGATTTGGTCAGTCTTCGGCAAGGCAGAGGTGGACCTCTTCGCCTCCGAAGACAACTGTCATTGCCCAATCTATTTTTCAAGACAACGGGATGCTCTGGCCCACAATTGGCCCAACACCCGTTTATTTGCCTTCCCTTCGATCGCCCTGCTACCTCAGGTTATCAGGTGAGTAAGGCAAACAAAATGCTCTCTCCTCCTTGTGGCCCCACTCTGGAGGAAGCAATTTTGGTTCCCAGAGATGATCCAACTGCTCTCTGCAGCCCCAGCCGGACCTGTGGAGCCTTCATGTCTGGCCCCTCGACGGGAGCCTAGTCAGCTCCCCGCGTGAGTTACTAACACCATTTTAGAGGCTAGAGCTCCATCAACAAGACGTCTCTATGCCCTTAAGTGGTCAGTCTTCAGTAACTGGTGTTCAGCACGAAGCCAGGACCCGAATTCTTGTGACGTGTCCCACGTGCTAACCTTCCTTCAGGAGTTGTTGGATAGGGGCCGCATCCCCTCCACACTCAAAGTCTGTGTGGCAGCCATCGCGGCGAATCATTCTCTCGTGGCTGGCCGGACAATCGGCAGAAACGACTTGTTCGTTGATTTCCTCAGAGGGGCTCGGAGATTGAACTCTCCTTGCCCTAGGTCTGTGCCGACATAGGACTTGTCTTTAGTCCTTCTGGCCCTTAGGGGCCCTCCCTTCAAGCCGCTTCAAACAGCTGGCTTATGGGCTTATCGCTCAAAACCGCTCTGCTTTTGGCCCTAGCATTGGTCAAGCGGGTAGGTGACTTGCAAGTGCTGTCTGTCCTTCATTAGATTTTATAATTTGGACGTCCCTGCCCTGCAGGTGCGGATCTTATCTGCTTAATATCTACCCATTTCCCACCTCCGGTGGAAGGGCTATATCAAGTAGACCTTATACTTGGGTCTTTTCTGTGGCTCAGGCTTACGGAGCCCTCGCTGAGTGTTCCTGGGTTGAGCTCGTAGAGCAGGCTTAGTTCTGCATCTGCTCATAGCACGGTGCTACTGGATGCGTTCCCCATAGGTCATCAAGATGACGCAACGAGAGTTACCTTTCGATAGGGAACGCTCTGGTTAGTAACGTAACCGCGGTTCCCTGAGATAAGGCAACGAGCGTTGCGTAACTAGCCGTGCTATAAGCTGCATACGAATCGTATTAGACAGTTTTGTAGAACATAAATACTCTAAGAAGCAAGATTGTGACTTCTGTTTATTTATTGAAAGCTGAAAGCAGTAAAATTAATCCGGATTGATTCTAGACTTCACTAAATCTTAATATGCTTTAAAAACACTTATTGCAAGAATGATCAAAATGAAATTAAGATGTAAAATCAAACTTGTACAGAACTGTTATGTAGAATTTGTTGATTTAGGTGAATTTAATGAATTTTGAGTTGTAGTATGCAACCACAATTGAGGACAGAGTAAACTTGATTGGAACAGCAACATTTTGACTATTATTTCTTAATGTGACCATAAAAATAACAAATGCAAATAATATTGCTCCAAAATTAGAATGTCTGTGCATTTCTTTAGTGAAAATAACAACAGTATTTAGTACAATAAATAAAATATGTCTGTATATAAGACTCTTTAAAATGTACATGTCTTCATTTACATATTATTTGTCTCTCAGATTTTAACAGTTGTGTCTCATTCAGTGTAGAGTAAGATTGTGATCACTGAGCCAAACTAACGTGTCTATTTCTGAGAAACTATTTCACTTAGTCTTTTCAAAAGCTCCAGCCTTTCTGACCGTAACTGTTGTCTCAATACTGAGTAAAATCTGTGATGAAACCATCATGCAAAGGAGAAAAATATTTGCCAGTGCATGCGGTAAGAAAAATAATCAAAGATATATTCTCTGAAAACAAGTCTTTAATACACTGGCCGTGTTTTAAGGACATTTTAATATTTTTGCTTGAAAAGAAGACAAATACGGATTAAAAAAAGGAATTTGAGTACATCAATAATGCCAAATGTCATTGACTCTTACACTAAAAATGTGGTGAAGGATTTACTTTGAAACTATTTTCACTCAGGAATCGCTATTAGATTTCACAAATAATAATTAAAATAAATGTACAATTAGAAAAACTGAAACAGTACTTTCTTGTAAAACGTAATCCAATAACCTTTATTTTATTTACAGCTTCAAAAAATCCTTTTTTACAGTGCGTATGCAAGTTTGCTGAAAAGCTGAAATGGAAAATGAAACGAGCTGTGTGAATTAGGGCTGGGCAATATAGATAAATATATTGTATTCAGCCTTTTGTAGATATACAGTGTCTGTGTATTTACTCTAAATTATTTTAAAGGTTGTATTTTTAAATCAGAGGAACAATCATGGTGCTAAAAATGCCATTATTGTAGGTTCAATTACCGGAGAACACACAAACTGATAGTAAGTCACATTAGATAAAAGCATCTGCCAAATGCATAAATAATATTTTGTGATTGAAGTTTAAGCAGACAAAATCTCATTATTGGCTAAATAGTAAAAGAGAGCAGATACTAACCTTCTGCAAATGAGATGTGAAATGCAAGAGTCAATATTAGAAGCCAGTTTGATTTTCTCTTGGCTATTTTCATCTTTTAACCTGGTCTGTCTCATGAAGCGAGTCACTGAGTTTGTTTCGACGTGACAAAAACAAATGTTTTTCCCCTGAGGGCCACTTATAATATTAGTAAAATTGTTTTGCACCAAAACAGTCATAACAGTCATCCACCACGTCTCTGACCATCTAAATGAAAAACACGGTTCAGGAGCTGCTTCTACTCTAAGACTTATAAAACAAAAACATGCAAAACATCTTTACATAAGAAATAAGTATCAACATGCCCAGCCACAGCACGTGTGGGAGACTGCAGAAAATCCAGTGAATGGGGAAACAGGAGAATATGTTTAAGCTAATCATTTACAAAGACAACGTCCAGACATTTATTGAAAACTGAATGTCACATTTTATGTGAAACACTTTATAAACTCTTATAAATGCTTGACTTAAATAACATTGAGGAAGCACACAGTTTACACACTGTAGCTCCCAAATACTACAGTTATTATCAGTGGTTTTGTAGCACATTAATTAAAATAATCTAAGAAGCATTATTTATTGAAAGCTGACAGCAGTAAAATTAATCCAGACTTCACTAGATCTTCATATGCTTTAAAAACACTTAATACACAGCAATGTTTGTTTATGGGAACCACAGTATTTGATCAGCTCTTAATAGTCTTGATGACGGAGATTCATGTTTTAGTTGGATCTGATGTGACTAATATTTGTGAATAAATATTTGCAATTTTATACGGACAGTTTTATTTTTATTTGCAGTTTAATCTCCAGATGAGAACATCAGATCTGCACTGCTGGTTAAAATCACAACATCAGCATGATTTGAATTATATCCAGTATAACTCTATTGGTTTGTCTGCAGAGCTGCAGAGGAAGTAAATGGATATTTAACAGACGTCTTTATCCAGAGCGACTGCAGACTGTTACAGCGAGTGTCTTTGTTCATTTGTCCAGCTGATGTTTTAGTAGATGGTTCCAGATGTTCCAAAGAAAAATCTTCAAGAATTTCAACTCAGTTGGTTAAAGATTAAGAGTCATTAGTTGCTTTGAAACATTTGGTAGCAAGTAAATGTGATCTAAACAGAGTGAATATTAAAAAAAGTATTTTTTAATATATATATATAAAAGTGTTTTGCAAAAATGCATATAAATGCCTAACAGGAGAATTCACAAATGTATGTTTTATTTATGCAAAATTATGTATAAAGTGTCAAAATATATATTTTTAATATGTGTATTTACATACATAAAATTCAAACATTCATTGATAATCACAATATATCATTTGAAATATGTTAGAAATGACATTGCGCAGTAAATGTTCAAGATTTTCCTGTGATGTCTGTATACCTGATGTGAAACGCTCGTTAATAAACAAATTAAATAAGCTAGTGGGTTGTAAGAGATAGTATTTCCTGAAAGTACACAGTGCCAAAAATACCCATAGTTGAAGAAACATCAATAAATGTTTGAAATATTAACATAACCCCCAAAATCAATATCAGCATTAACTTATGATCCAAAATCTGTGTCTCGTCTTGTGATTTACTCACTATTATCGGCTTCAAATTACTGTTAAAATATAATGAAATAATATACTGTATAAAAATGAAATTAAAGAACCAATAAATACACAACAGCATGGAAAAATCAGGAAAAAAATAACAAATTTCACAGAATCACTCTTTAGATGGAAATACATTTTTGTAAATCCTAATATTAGCAGAAATATTGTCATCTTCACTCCAAACAGAGCAAATACAGTCACAAACCCCATCGAGAGCGTCACTCCAACGAAACAAAACAGGAATAACTTGAGTGCAAAAATGAGTGTTGTACGAGCTTGCATTTGATCTGGTATAATGGAGTAAATAGTGTATAAATGAGCCCCGAATGTGACCCCGGGGGCAGCATGGCACGCTATGAGCACATCTGACCACGTCTGCACACTGACAGCTGTTCCTACAATCAGTCCTAGACCTGCTATGAACTCTATACTGGGAAATATAAAGATCATGACTAAAAACATTATGATTTGGTGTCCGTGTCGTGAATTTGCGAAGTCGTTATATGCAGCGGCTACTGTGAAAGTTGAGGATACAATCAAATTTAAAGGAACAGCAACATCTGGATTGAGCATCTCTCTTAAAGCGACGGTAAAAATAACAAGCACGAACAGTATTTCTGTAAAATGAAAATGTTCATGTCTTACTTTAATGAAAATATAAGCAGTGTTCAGTAAAATTAGCAAAATCCATCGTGCAGCTCCTGCTGAATTGTTATGTTTTTCAGAGAGCATCTGAATTTCTTCATGCACATCTTGACTGGTCTCTTCTGTTTCTAACTCTTGAGTCACTACTGAGTAAAATCTGTGATCATTGAGCCGAACTAACTTGTCTATTTCTGCTACGAGAGCTGCTCTTCGAGCAGGTTTTGGTTCAGAGTCTCTTATGATGTGAAATCTTCCTCCACATGCGTTGATCATTTCTCCAGCAATCCCTCTGGAGGCTCCTGTGAATCGTTCCTGCTGATTTTGCAGCAGAAGAACAATGCAGTGCTGCAGGACTTCTGCTCCCAGCAGCTCCTGGGCTCGTTTCACAATATCACACTGTTGTGATTGTTGATCTTCCAGATTCAGGAGCATTAAAACGGCGTGAGGTCCAGGAGACGAGAGAAACAGCGCTGTTGTGAAGGTCTGTCTCGTTGTGTCCTCCTCACAGAGGTTTGGTCCAGTGATCAGCATCATTCTACGAGCCTCGTCTGTAATTACTGGAGTCTTTACAATCTCTCTGTCCTCCTGTCCACCGTCTTTCCTTCCTGACAGAAGATCTGCAGCGCTGAATCTGGACTGACCTCGGCTTCCCACCATCAGGATCCTCACCTCATCATCGTGAGAAGCTGGAAGAGAAAGTGAAACATCATGCAAAACAAGAAAAATGGAGTAAGGAGGATTTTTAGAGGTTTAAACTGGAAAAGGAGACCAAAATACTGATATTAATGAGTAGATGCATTACCTTCTGCTTGCTCAGACATGGTGTGAAATAGCAGAATCAGTGTGAAGAGCACGTTTGTTTTCGTCTTGGTTGATTTCATCATGCAACCTAAAGCCAAATGTAGCCTAAATATCTTTTGCTCAAGTTACCTGTATAAACAAAACTAAGAATATAAAGACAAGTCGTTTTTACTGATCAGTTAGTTTAGAAAACGCTTTAAGAGTAGTTCTGTCCATGCCTTTTGTTTTGCTAAGAAAGCTACGCTCGACTTGTCTGGGTTTACCAGTCTGACTGGTTCTCTGGAAATGACAGAGGCATTTTGCAAGTGTTTAATTATTATAATTTTTTCTGCCGGTAAGACTGAAGTTTGTTAGCGGTCGTACCGGTGCCAGACAAGCGCTGCCATTTATTTCTGTTGCGCGTGAGAACCCAGCAAGCAATTTTGCGTTTAAAAGATGTCTATTAGACGTCTAAATATAGCCTAGACGTCTAGGCTAAAACTAGGCTAAATTTGGGCTGTCAGTGAAAATCTAATAGACGTCTAATCATAGCCCAAGAATAGACTAGTCATCAATTAGACGGCTATTAAAGAAAGAATGTTTGAAGTGATAGAAGAGAAAACTCTGTTGTGGCTTAACACAAACCCAGATGCTCTAGTTTTTATTGGGGGAGACTTTAATATTGTGCCCGATAACCAGATGGATAGACTACCACCTAGACAGGCCACTTCTGTTAACTCTAAACTGAAAATATTCATGGACAAATTACTTTATATAATGTAATTTATATTGCCCCTGGCCCTGTATGTTTGTTGTTGTTGTTTTTTTGTTTTTTTTCATTTTGTTTTGTGATTTTGTTGTTACTAGGGTTGTATATTTTTGTGTACTTGTTGCTAATCCTAATAAAGGAAGAAAAAAAAAAAAAACCCTAAAAGCGGAACGAAACCGCACGCGCTCAGCTCCTCTGAACCGGAAGAAAGCGCAGCGCGAGCTCAGAGCAAACACTGAACTGTTTCGATCACGAGACTGCTACTGAACAGAGCTGTGAGATCCAGCATGAACACAAACCACAAACTAGTGATTTAATCCAGATGAAACAGCGCTGACATTCATCTCAACATCCCTGAAGTGTGTGTGACACAGGAGAAACACTGCAGAAACCATCCAGTTTTAATCCACTACATTCACTAAGGATTAACTGTAGTCACATAAACTGTTATTATGGTATTGTGGCAGAAAGGTGGGGATATCACACATTCTATTATTAATGTAGACGTGTTTTAAATGGTTTAAAGAAGTGTAATTAGCCTGTAATAGCTGTTTTTTGTGCATTTGTATTTATACTAAATTTTTTTAAGCTACTGTTTTTCATAACAAATACCATATAAACCATATAGCTACTTTTTTACATTGGTAGTGAGGCCCATGGTTATAATAATCTACTAATGTATTATATTAAGATAGACCAATGATACTAAAGTGATAGAACCAATAAATACACAGCAACATGGAAGTATGAGGATAGAAACTGCACACAGAAACATTCTCATTGTTAAATGGAAATACCCCATTGTAAATCCTAATATTAACAGAATTGTTGTCATATTCACACCCAAAAGAGCAGACACCCAACAGAACACAGTCACCAGTCCCATTGAGAGCATCGCTCCTACTGAACAAAGCAGGAATGACTTCAATGCAATGGTGAGAGTAGTCCCGGCATACTTTTGATTGGATGAAGAGCAAAAAACTGTGCTTAAAATGGCCCCGAGTGTGACCCCAGGAGCCGCGTGACACGCTATGAGCACATCTGACCACGTCTTTATGCTAGTGGCTGTTGCCAGGATCAGTCCTAAAGCTAATCCTAAAATAGAAACTGAAAGTAAAACTACTTGATACATCAAGATTTTATGTACTATTGTTAAATTCAATAATTCGATGCACGTAACCGTAATAACAAACATTGAGCAAAGAGACATATTTATTGGTACAGCAACATCTGGACTCAGATTATTTCTGAATGTAACCATGAAAATAACAACTACACATAATATTGCTCCAACATTACAAAGTTCATGCTTTCCTTTAGTAAAAATAACAACAGCATTCAGTACAATGAAGAAAATCCATCCTACAATTCCAACAATTCTTCCTAAAGTGTCATATATTACAGGCAAGACTGGATTTTCTTCATTTACATTTTGATTGGTCTCTTCTTTAAGCTTGTTCTCTATTTCTTGTAATCTTTGTAAAAGTTCCAGCTTCTCTGTTTCTAACCCTTGAGTCACTACTGAGTAAAATCTGTGATGGTTGAGCCGAACTAACTTGTCTATTTCTGCTACGAGAGCTGCTCTTCGAGCAGGTTTTGGTTCAGAGTCTCTTATGATGTGAAATCTTCCTCCACATGCGTTGATCATTTCTCCAGCCCCTTTAAAAGTGAATCATGTAAATATTTCTTGACTCAACCTAGAAGTAAATGATCTGATTACGGTGTTTGTTTGTGAAATAATCAAGTAAATGAACAGTTTTCAGTTCCACCCTCTGATACGTCTTTAAAAGCCATTAATTATTATTTACAGACAGTGGACTCCACTGTAGTGTTACTCATTCTGAAGGGAAAAAACATTCTTGTTTTGAAGTAAAAAAAAAAACAGTTTTCTTTGTGATTTAATAATGCATGCATCAGATGTTTAAACTAACAGTAGAGTGCATATACATTACCTTCAACCTGAATAGATGTCATGTGGAATGCTAGAATCAGTGTGAGGATCCATTTTGGTTCTGTCCTGGTTAGTTTCATTTTCAACCTGAAGAGTAAAGCGACCGATTTTAGCCTGTGACTTCAAATTACTTAAAAGTGTTTGATTCAGTCTTACAATATAAGCACAGCTATACTTAAGATCGCTGCAAAAAAAACAAAAAAAACTGTTTCCTCCTGTTGAAAATCCTGTTTCTTGTCGTTTGTCATAAAGTGAAAGTTTCACTATTGATAGCGCTCACGTGTTTCCCGTTACAGGCAGAGCCGTGAAGTTCACTGCACGCGCAAGAATACGATGGGGGTTAACTTTATTAGCATGATTTTATTGTGTAGCCTATTTTTTATGTTTTAAAAATGTTTTAACCAGGTAAACTGAATCGGTTGTAAGTGTTCATTTAACAGATGATTTTATATTAAAACATATTTGCTCTCATTACAGGATAAATCTGTCATTTCTCTTTTTATGCAGAATTATGCAAAAGTGTTAAAATATTGTTCAGTTGTTTGCATCTATGGTCCTTAAATATTCCCATGGTCACTTCACTGCTATGAACACTACATTGGGCAATGACGAAAGCATGAATAAAAACATTACGATTTGATGTCCGTGTCATGAATTTGATAAGTCATTATGACTTCAATAGCAAAAGTTGAGGGCAGAATCAAATTTACAGCAGCAATATTTGAATGCACAATAGCAAGTGCACATAGTATTGCTTCAAAATGAGAAAGTTAATGCCAATATAGATCTTGTTTCACAATGTCATAGTTATGATTCTAGATTTTTCAGATTCAGGACCATTAAAACGGTGTGAAGTCAAAGAGACGAGAGAATCTGATCGTGCTGTCTTTCTGTATCCTCATTAGAGGATTTCTGGACTCTTTTATCATCTAGCAGCAGGGGAATCTGTGTATCTGGACTGTTTCGTCTTCATTAAAGAACCCAACAGTAATGCCGGATAAAACAAGTACGAACCGAACAGGTATTCAATGCATATTTTAGGAACACTCAACAACATCTCTAAAATCAGAACAATTGAAGCTAAAAACACACAGCCACATGGGAAAAACACTAAAGTAGTAAGTAACTCATTTACAGTGTTCTGCATGTTGGGATCTAAAATGTTAGATGCAATTGCAGTCATGATTATTAGCAGAAATACTGTGAGCTTCACTCCAAACAGAGCGGTGAACACAATCGCACACAACACTGTGAGTTCAGCACCTACTGCACAAAACAGAAATAATCAGAATCAGAATCAGAAAGAGCTTTATTGCCAAGTGTGCTTGCGCATACAAGGAATTTGTTTTAGGGACATAAGCTTCCAGTACACAGAGACAACAACAACACACAGACAATAAAAAATAAGATTAGAATAAATGAAAAAATACACATATGTAAATATAAATAGACAAATATTGAAAAATAAATCGAAAAATAAATAAATTGTATGTACAGTTGTGCTATAGATGATAGAATGGAATAGAATAGAATGAGATGCAGGTGGTAACAAATAAATATAAGGTTATTGCACATTTTTATTGCATAATGTGGGGAACATTTAACTGTTCATGAGGTAGATTGCCTAGGGTAAGAAACTGATCTTGTGCCTGGCTGTCCTGGTATTTGCGGCTCTGAAACACCGGCCAGATGGCAAAAGTTCAAAAAGGGGATGACTTGGATGCGAGGGATCCCGAGTGATTTTCTGAGCCCTTTTCCTCACTCTGGATGTATACAGTTCTTGAAGGGTGGGCAGGGGAGCACCAATAATCCTTTCAGCAGTCCGAACCGTTCTCTGTAGTCTTCTGAGGTCTGATTTTGTAGCTGAACCAAACCAGACAGTTATTGAA